CTGCTGTCGTGATTTGGTGCTAAATAAATAAAATTGAATTGAATTATTAAATGGATTTTTCAGAAATGTGGTCTTTCCTTCCTGTGACAGGACAAACAGATGGCACGCAGCTGTGTAGTGGGCCATTGTAAGACATTAAGAGTATTTTGACTATAGACACTATAACTGTTTTGCTCCCAACTGACAGAGTGAGGCACCACTTTTGACAGAGTGATCTATGTGTTTTTAAAACACTTTTATTCCTGTGGCAGTTTGATGTTGCACAAGAGGTTTAAATTGTGAGATTGGGTATCGTCGAGATGCATTTTTAAGAAGCCCAGTTTTTCATAAATGTGTTTTGCCGGTGTTGGAGGCGCGCTGATGAAAGCTGAGTGACAGCACGGCATTACACAAATGTGGTTCAAAAAACATTTTGATTGGTTATATGCAAACAACGTCTCTTTCTACTGAGATGAATTGTTAAGGGCACACCTACAGGTACAGATGCACTATTACAAACTAAAGCCAAAATATATATATATGAAATGCAAATTGTTTTCTTTTATGCATTATTTACCTTCTATTAGAAAGCATCCACAAAGCAAACCCATAATACTTCAGCAGAAAATTTGCATTTTTATTTCCTATTAAGTCAAAAGTTATATTGAGTTCTTTAAAAATGTAAGAGCCTTCTTTGCAGCTGGGGAAGCACAGCATTACAATGGACTCAGGAGCAGCTAATTATTAATGAGAATATGAGGCGGTGAGTTTGAGAGTCAGAGGAGCTATTCAAACATGTGACCCAACTTTCCCTCTTAGTGAACACTCAGCTTTTGGAGCCATAATGGCATTAACAGTACATGATAGAAAGAGTCGACGCTCAGCAGGAGCCAGCGTAGGTACTGAAGCAGAATGAGAAGACAACTACCATCAGTTTCGAGAGAGCCCACCTTCAGCTAACCTTTAATTATTCTGGCAGTCACTCGATCATGTGGCAGATGCATTTATTCCTGTATCAATCAGTGCACCGGAAAGGAAATAAGAGCTATTAGCATGTAGCTACTGTGGAATACCAACACCCTAAAATACTGTCCTGCTGAGTTCAGACACACAGATCTGTTTTATTATTGCCGGTGACTGACACAAACATGTACGGGCACCACTTGCAGTAATTTATAATGAGCGGAAACACAAGCTGTTGATTGTGTGCAAAGTGGGGCAGAGTTTAAGAGGTGACTGACTGATCAGTCGCTCATAGAGAACAGAAGCTCATTGTAATGTTTACTGTTTTCACACATTCTCCCTGAAAGGCTTTATGGTCTTTGTTAAGGCAGATGAGTTGCAATCCTAAACAGAGGTTGTCGTGCAGTTTAAATTACAATAATTCAATGCCTCTTTATACATAGTGAGGGGATTTTTTTATTTTGAGCTGCTCATTTTTACTCTGCACATGTACTCTACTCTTTATAAAAATAAAGTATTATGGAAATCCCTTTCATGTTAAGTAACGCTAGAGCAGAGCAAAAATATTCAGGAGATATGAAATTACATGTTTTATGTGCAAAATGAATCAGTAATACAACAAACAAGTACTGACAATCAGAGCAAAATTACCTATAGTAATGAACTAGTATCTAGTATTCTTGTTTTATCCACACTTGTCACATTTGAAAGGCTATCCAAACATACATAACCCTATGTGAAAATGTGAAAATCCTCCCTAAACCTCATAGCATGTTGTGCCGCCCTTGGCACCAAAAATTGTAATGAGTGTTTCTGAGAAATGGCAATGAGTCTTTCTCATAAGAGTGGAGGAATTTTGGCTCCCTCTTCTTTGTAGAATTGTTCTTATTCAGCCACATTAAAGGGTTTTTCAGCATGAACAGCCTGTTTAAGGTCACACCATCTCAATCTGATTTGAGTCCGGCTTTTGACTTAGACCCACCAAAATCTTAATTTTATTTTATTTTTTTTAGCCATTCAGTGGTGAACTTGTCATGCTGCATAACCCAAGTGAGTTTGAGCTTTGTAACCCTTTCAAAACTGATAGATAGACTTTATTTCTCTGCTATTTTTGTGTCGTTCTGTTGCGT